CCATGTGTTTTCTCCACACTGATCAATCAATTATTGTTTCCAGCTTCCTTTGATTGATTACAGACACCTGAGGTAGGGCGGGAGTGGGACACCTCTTTTTCTGATTTCAGGAAATTGCCCCTGTTCATTCTCTCCCTCTCAATATGAGATGTCCCTAATCTTTCCACTGATTAGAAAACATTAGATTATCTAATTTTGTATTCTAGTTGATTGTTTTATTTTAATTAATCTTTTTAATTATTTTTAATGTATAAAAATCTATTGCCCCTTGCATTCATGATCCAGTGTTAAAAACTGTGATACTAGCTGTGTGACCCTGGGCAAGTCACTTAACCCCAACTGCCTAAAAAAAAAAGAAAAAAAAAAGAAACTGTGGGGGACTAGTCCTGGTTTGTTGAGCAATCGGTCTACATTGCTCAATAAACTGAAATGTTCACAAGTTAGAATCTTTGTTTCTTCAGTCATTTCATCTTTCAATAGCCATATTATTCCTACTACTTCTCTATCCCTTCCCCCCCCCAAAAAAAGTAATTCATTCACAGGACCTTGACTAGTGATTCCAGATTGGCTTACTCTTTTATACATAGGCATAGGTGAATGTCTGATTCTTTGAACAAGTAACAAAGTATTTCTTGAATTGCATCATCTGTCTTCAATGATCAAAATACTTTATTCCTCTCCCATTGATCAAGGTGTTGTTTTTTCTTAGTTTGCCATTTTAATTAATTAATTGATTCAAGCCATATCTCTAGGTCTTCCACATTATTTGGGATGGGGGTGTGTGGGGTATACCCACCTCTGGTACCTCTGGTATGATGGCTTGCTGAACCTTTTTCAAGGTTGCTCATCCACCTTTGGTGTCCACCTGATTCACCCAATTCTCACCTGTGGGCTCCAAGAAACTGTAGCATTAACAGCCACACCTAGGAAAGCCATCTCAATAGATGGGCTAAACCAGGTTGAAGCCTCAAATTGGTTGATGAGTTAGGAAGATGTCTATCCCAAACATGTGAAGACTTTCCCAGGTCGAATGGGTGGATAAGAACAATGAAAGTGGTAGAAGCAGGCACCGTGGAATGCTTAGAGCTTAATTAGACATCAAAGACACCAATGTCATCAGGTCCATCCTGGGCCATCGCCAGTCATCCTGACTTTCGTCTTGCCACTGAACTTGATGAATCTAGAAGAGAGAGTAAGACTGATGACTTTATGTAATTCTTCCTCATTGAAATCTACTTGATATTCAAATAAAAGCATCACCCAAAATGCCATTGGTCCTCTTTGAAAAAGGACAAACAACAACAACAGCAACAATTTGGTATTCAATACTAAAGATGACAAATGTTGGTTTTTTGTTCAGACATAGGTTGAACTAGATAGCTCAGACATCCTTTCCAATTCTGCGATGTACACTGTAGTTCTTTACACAAATCTGGCTTAGAAATACCCCACACACACACCTTAAATGGAGTATTTTTTGAATTAGAGCTTTTTTGCCTATATTAGTTGTCTGCTATAAATTTACAATAGCTATAATCTGATAATTAGATTATACCAAACAAGTAATTTAGGATAATGTATACAAAAATATTCATAGATTTAGCGTATCATCAAGTCCAATTCCCTCTTTTCACAGGAGAAAAAACTAAGAACCAAATGGGTAGAGAGGCTTTTTTAAGGACACATAAATAAATAACAAAACCTATATTTCAACCCAGATGTGCTGATTCAAGTCTAGCATCCTTTTGACATGTCATTCAATAAATACTTATTAAGCATCAGCTGTGTTCCAGGCACTGTAAAAAAAGGCAAAGGAAATTTTCTGCCTTCAAGGAGCTCACAAAGGAATGGAGGAGACAACAAACATATATGTACACATAAGCTATATTTGACTGCATACATGACTATGTCATGTTGCTTTATCTAAAATATGTTTTTGAGGGTGTGGATGTTTATGTATCTTATGCATGTATCAACTAATTTTGTAAAAGATGAGTTGTAGAAGCAGTGAAGGAATAGAAGACAGGGAAATCTGTATACAGAAAAATAATTCCAAAATATTATGATGCAAATGATGTAGCAAATCTATTATTTTATTAAGTGTCATTACATTATGATCAATTTTTTTAACTCCAGAATTTATACAGCATATTAAGTGGTTTTCTTGACATGGCAGTCACTTTATGAAGCTATCCATTTATTCTGATAATGGTTCCACTTTCAAAAGGTTTGCTTTTAATACCTCTTTTGATAGTTTAAGAACCTATGTCATATTCTTTTGGATATCACAAACGGTGTCAGGAATTTAGTTCTTTGAGAGTGGATTTGGTTTTTGGAAAGAGATAAAGGTCATTTAGAGTTAATGAGTATACAGCTGCTATAATTCCATTTTTGCCAAAACATAAAGTACATGGATAATATTATAGGGTAGCTAGATGGTACAGTGGATAGAGTGTGGGGTCTGGAGTCAGGAAGATATCTCTGTGAGTTCAAATCTGCTTTCAGACACTTTCTAGCTATATGTACCTAGGCAAGTCACCTAACCCTGTTTGCCTCAATTTCTTCATCTATAAAATGAGTTGGACATGGAAATGGCAAACCACTTGAGTATTTTTGCCAAGAAAACCCCAAATGAGGTCACAAAGAGTTGGAGGAGACTGAAGAACAAGAAATATTATGGGACTGGTTTTCTTGAATGGCTTCTTAACTGACTCTGAAAGAATATCCAAAAGAGGGCTAACAAATATATTTCAAATAATGGCACTATTAATGAAGTAAGTTTGTAGTTGCTCAATATTTGAAGGACAGCAACTACAACAACAACTCATTTAGACGTAAAACTTCCATGTTTCTTTTAGAAAAAAAAAACAATTTAATTACATTATTGTCACACATCACATAAATAACTTGACAACAATATATACAGGGCTCAGGGTAAGTTTTATTTTCATCGGTTGTTAAACATTAATAATGCTTTTGAAAATGAGCTTACAGAAATTGCCCCAAAATAGTTTATGGTGGCTAAAACATGCTTAATGAATGTGTGAGATATCCCATGTTTTTTCAACAACCTGTGTCTTTCCCAAGGATTCATGAATCATTGTTTAAAATCCTGAATGTAGAATTTGAGGCCCTCTAAGATCTAACTCCAAAATATATGTAACTGATGTAATTTTTCTCTCTTACAAAGTGTACAACTTATAAATCTGACCAAACTCATCTCACTTCAAATTCTACTCTTTTGTTCATATTCTTTATCTTATGAATGATTTCAGGCTTAAATATTTCCTCCTTCATGAAACCATTTGTGGTACTTGCAGGTGGTAGCAACTCCTTCCTCAAATGAATTCTGTATGGTAGTTGTTGTTTTTCTCTTCTACACTTAAATTCTAAATTTTGTTATACCTATGGTTCTGTCTTACCTACCTCACCCCAACACCCATTGCCCATATTACAAGTTCTTTGTGATATTGATTGCCATCTCTTTTTTCCCTCTTCCTTTGAACCTAGATAAGCTAATAGTGAAATATTTAATACATTAAGTTAATGAAGCTACCTCCTTCACATTATACATCTTAAAATGGAGTCTTCTTATCACTGTCAATTCACAATGGCATTGTTAGATGCAAATTTCTCCAATGCTTCTAGATTATTTTATATGAGAGAATCAGTTTTTTACTCTTTCTGGATGCTTTATAGAATTTCAGGATCTCTGTTCCAAATCTAGAAAAAAAAATGTTTGCCATTTGCCAGTTTCACTCAAAAAATTTTATTAGTATCATTATTTAATTATTAATGTTGGACACAGGGTCTCATTTTCCAATGAAAACCTTGTGAAAAAATCTACTAATATTCATTGGGATATTTGCTAGTTTTAGATTTAGATCTAGGCTTTTTAAAAATATGTGTACTTTGGTAAATGTATTTCAGAATTATTTATTTACTTTGTGACTATATGTTTTATTCTCTTCACTTAAAAAAAACATCATTCTGAGAGGAGATCCTTAAAATTGACCATATTGAAAAAAATAAAATAAAATAAAATTGACCATATTGCCAAAGGGATCTATAACATACACACAAAAATGGTTAAGAATCCCTGCTCTAGGAAGAGTCTAGGAGACTCCTGGTAACCCTGAGAAAGGCAATATATCTATTCAGAATAGATACAGATTCTTGTAAACTTTGTAATTCCCTCTCTAAATCACAATGATCTATTAAACCAACACATTGAATTGAATAGGTCATTTTGTTTTTGTTTTTGTTATCACTATAGCACGTTATTAACCCATGGAAGCTTATCATATGTCAATTATTTTTTAACATGGTGAGTAGTAAAAGATAATATGTATACTGAAACATTTATGCCAGTCCATGATAATAGAGCAAGATACCATCCTAATGTACAGAAACAACCAAATAATGTCAGAAAAAGAATTAAAATCACATTGAATGTATTATTTTATACAAAGACAAGTAATGGCATGAGTAAAGTGTAATTAAAAGCAAAAGTTAAAATTATTTTGATGGCTATGTCAAAACTTTATTGAAGAAAGTTCTTAAAGTTGTATGTAGTTGTCTTTAAAAGTGCAAGGACTGTATTACACAGAGAAGCAAAATGTTTTCTGTCTGTCTGTCTGTGATCTATCCATTTGTAAAGCTACAGAGCAGCAGACCTTTCTAATCTTTATTGAAAAGAGTTCTTGGGAATTTTGAATTGACTTGAATGATATCTCATGTTTACTGTCATTTTATTTTAATGCTACTTTCTTATCACGTATACACACTCATGGCTTTATCCATTTGTTTAGTGATTTTTGAGTGTTACAGAGTCTGAAATTTGTAATTTTTCCAACCATAAGACAGAAAAAAGATAACCATTGCTGACCCCAATTATAGTTAAGATTTGAACAGACTTATTCTTATGTGCTGAATGATTTGATTTGTAATTACAATAGGTATATTTACGGATTTTTTTTTCCTTTTTTACTTCCCTGAAGCTACACACTGACCAAGATAAAGGAGATGGAAATTTAAAATACATATTAACAGGAGATGGGGCTGGCAGTCTGTTCATTATTGATGAAAATACAGGCGATATTCATGCGGCAAAGAAATTAGACAGAGAAGAAAAATCCTTGTATGTGCTACGTGCCAAGGCTATAGACAGGAAGACTGGAAGACAAGTGGAGCCTGAATCTGAATTCATCATTAAAATCCATGATATCAATGACAATGAACCAAAATTTACAAAGGACTTATATATTGCCACTGTTCCAGAAATGTCTGGGGTCGGTAGGTATAAAATATTCTCATACATAATTTAATATTCTTTGGCTAGCACAATTATAATTGATAGCATATGTGACCATTGTTTATAATAAGATAGAGATGCAAAATAATTTGGTAGCTATTTGATTTCTTATTTGTTTACATTCAACCTACCTTAAATTTCGTTTACTTTAATTCCCCCCCCACCACAAGCAACTGACACTTACAATGTCTGTTCAAATAAATAAACAGGGTGAGGGAATGAGTACTATGATTAAATCTGGCAATCTCAGTGAAGAAGAAACACAGTGGCATAGTAGATAGAGCTCTGGGCCTGGAGTCTGAATGACCTGCCTTAAACACTCACTAGATGTGTGATCCTGGACAAGTCACTTAACTGCTACCTGCCTCAGTTTCCTCATCTGTAAAATAGGGATAATAATACCACCTATCTCCAAGGCCAGGATTATTATGAGGATCAAATGCAACAATAACTGTAAAATGCTTAATATAGTGTCTAACATGTAGTAAGCAATACATATATATGTATATACACTGAGAAAGAGAGAGTTGTCATCATTATATTTTGCATGTATGTAAATGCAGAGACACCAAAAACTGTCATAGTTTTCACATTGCTTTAGTACATACAGGGAATAAAATCTAGATGAAATGGATTAAAAAAAGAAATTCTAGAAATTTGAGGGAAAATAATTTTACATCTTTTTCTATTATAGCCCATTATGTTTGTATGGTACTTTGTACATTTTAATACATATGTATATACTTTAGTCTCCTTTAATTTTCACAAAAACCCTGAGAAGTTAACTCTTTTCCTTGAAGCTCTGTGGAGGAAAATAAACTGCAAGATTCTGAAGTCATGATAGGCTAAAGAATAGTGGGGAGAGCACAGATCTTATTTTAAAATTAAAGAAAATAATGAACATATGCTTTATGTACGGTATCATGGTGAAATTTTCCAATGTCACAGAAGGACTCAAGGACAATAGTTCTAATCAATTGTAGCACAGCATTTTAAATTGACAGATAAAACCTGTGTGGCACACCTGAACAATTCCAAAAGGGCCCTAAATGCTATAATTGTCAAGAAACTATCCCTTTTAAGTTGTTTCAGTGGTTGCTTCACTGATTCTGAGTAGGATCAGCAATTGAAATAGTAATTATAATTCACTTGGAGACTGAGAGATGGTTGAAGTTAAAAGATTTCTTTAAAGTCCTAAAACCCATTGCTTGAGGCTATATTCTTTTTTCCTGAAAAAAGAAAGGAAAAGAAAATGCTTTACCCTTTGGTAAAAACAAAATAAATGTTTCCAGTCAAATGCTATGGAATTCCTTCATTTTGTGAGCCACCTCCCCTTAAATGCAGGGCCAGCTTATATAAGATTACCTTCTATGGCTTGCTAAGGGCTGGCACAGCTTCCCCAAACCTTCCAATTGTCTCCCTCCAAATTTTTTCAAGACTGTATAGTTGTTCCAGTTCTACGCTAAATGTATCACTTTGATTGCTTATTCTTTCTTTCATGGCCACTCTCTAATAAAAGAGACCCCCTCTTCCTCATTTAGTATTATTGCTGTCATCATCATCATCATCATCATCATCGTCGTCGTCGTCATCACATTATCATTATCATTACTACAGTGTGCTATTTGGACCTATGATTTCAGTAGGACAGGAAATTCACTGTGAGGAAACTCCCTTAACTAAGACAAAACAGTTACTGCTCTGTAATGTAAAGTCTTAAGAATCTCTTAGGGCTGAGCTTCTTAAACTTTTTCCACTAGAAACCCCTTCAGCTCTTCTTAAACTGTGCATTCTGACCCCATATGGCAGCTAAGAGTTTAAACAATTTACCTGGGTTGACACAGCTGTTCTGTGTCAGAGATAGATATTAAACACGAGTTCATTCTGATGCTACATGTACGTTTCTATCCAATATGCCAAACTGCCCCTTACAAACACCTAAGTTTGGCACATAATAATTCACCTTAGTTCATACTAGTCCTAATTTTCTAATGCCTAATCACAGGATATTTTAAAATGTTCATATTAACCAAAGGCACACAACATTTCAAATAGTCGGAATAGAGACTCTTGAATAATTATCTCATGGGCATTTGTCAAGGACATTTTATGAAGATTAGTCTTTTTAGTTATGAAACACTTGTTCTTCTTTTTTGTTCAAGGCCTTCTCATAGTATATCCCATAGAGTCATACAGATACTGGGGCAAGGTAGAGATGAAGTTTTTCAAAGAAGTGTTGCTGTGGTGCATAAATTTGCTTGTGTAAGTAGATATCCCTGTGAAGGCAATGATATTCACCTGTGAAAATGACCCCTCATTTCCAAAATCCCCTTCTATGTAAAAGAGATAGTTGTGTAATTAGCAATTGATTTTCATAAAAAAATAATGACTTGTATAGCTTCATTTGTGAGGTCTGATGGAAAACTTGAAATTGATTACTGTGAGAACACCAAGTGAGCAATCACATGCCTATACTGGCAGATTGTTTCTCCGTACTGTAGGAAATTCTCTTAAGACGTTAATTTGCAAACCAGGGGCCAATGTACTCTAACAAAGAGATTTTCCTGATTGTGAGGTCCTTATGTCAATGAAAATTACAGGCCTCATTAAAAACAACAACAACAATAATAATAATGTAGCAAGGGCGTTGAGCCTGTAGTTCAAGGGCCTAGATTTGAATCCTGACACTCACATTTACTAGCTGAGGAGCAGTAGGCAATTAAACAACCTGAGCCTATTTTCTCCTCTGTAAAATGAAGAGTAATAGTAACAATTGAAATACTACTTCACAGGATTGTTTTGAGCAAAATGCTTTGTAAGACATAGGATGCTTCTATTAATGTTGAGTGCCACCTCAGAAATATTATTAGATCTAAGGTCTAGTGAGCAAATGACTAAAGTCTTTTCCATTGTCTAGTTTTAGCCAAGAGTGAAATTGATGCATATCACTCATACAATCATGTTGTTTTCTCATTGGACTCATATTTGTTTTTTATGTCTTGACTTTGACTTGTTTTTGTAATGATTTGTATTGCTTTGATCAATTTATAATCCAAATGAATTTACCTAGTAAAATGGGTAGATTGCCTGTGTGACTCTGGGCAAGTAACTTAACCTCTGTTTTTTTTTGTTTTTTGTTTTGTTTTGTTTTGTTTTGTTTTGTTTCTTCTCCTGTAAATGAAAATTATAATAGTAACCCCTACCTCCCTTGGTTGTTGTAAGGATCAAATGAGACAATCATTGTAAAATGCTTAGCCCAGTGCCTGGAACATAGTAAGTGGCCTATAAATGTTTGCTATTAAAACCAAGTAACAGAGATGACCAAAATTCACCATTAACCTTTATTTCTTTGGATAAATATAATACTTTCTAGAAGAGAAGAAAGGTATATGCTTTTTAGTAAACTGACTTTTTCTCCTTTTAGCTAAACTAGAGTAGCTTTCTAAGGTGAGAACTATGTATTTCTTCTCATCAGAAAAAGATAGAATAATTCACTAGGTTCATAACCAATTTGATTTTTCTTACTTCTCTTCCTATCCCCCATCTGGATGTTCTTATAAAAAGTTTCCTTTTTAATAGCAATATAAAATAATGCATTTATAAAATTTCACAGACTATTATCCCATAATAAAAAACACATTTGTTAAGTTAGCCACACTGATTTAGCTATATGATTATTTCATTTAGTGAAAGTATCGTAATAGTTCTCCAAAATAGTTCTCCAAATAGTTCTCAAAAAACTTTTTATACTAATTATTTGTAATTCCATGTGAAATGAACAGACTGAAAAATAAGTAGTAGTAACTTTTAAAATGCGATGTGAAGTGAAAGATCAATTTTTTGCTGTATATGTTCTCTTTTTTTGCTTTGCTGTCTCTTTTTACCCTATTGCCACTGTAAAATATTGTATGTACTATGTAACTTAGTTGAATTTTATTCTTCACCTGGCAGAAGTTCATTCTATTGCTTGTTTTTTAAACAGCAAAAGCATAATTTTCTACTGAAAAGACCTTTGTAAGTCTTCCAGTCTAACTCCTTTACCTTAAAAATGAGACAATTCAGACCCAGAGAGATGGAGCAACTATTTCAAAATCACACAGAAAACTTTTATTCTGTTGAAAGAGTGTTGGTTTGGGTGTCAGAGAACCTGGAGTTAAATTCCTTTTCTGCCATTCACTAGCAAGGCCACTTTGTGCTCAATTATCAATCAATCAATCAAAAACATCGATTAAATATTCTATAGGTTTCAGTTTCTTCATATGCAGAATGAGGATCCTGAAGTAGCTCACTGCTAAGTTTCCTTCTTTCTCTAAATGTATGACAATGTAATTCACAGATATTTTTCTCCTTGAGCATTTGTATGTGAAAGAATTTTTAAGCCTCTTACCAAAAGGTTAACTTTGCAAGTTCCTTGCTTACAAATAGATGATTTTATTTAAAACATAATGAGAAATATTTAAATTTTGTTTTCATAATCCCACGAGCACATATGACTAAAAATAAGCTCCATGTGTCAATGTATTAGCATATGGTGTTCAGATAGAGTGTGACTCATTAATGTTATGGGAGGTATGCTACACTTTTAAGATTGCTACACTTTAGCTATGATATTAAAAATAAATCCATTGCTATATTTCCAGGCTACTTTTCTTCTAAATGTAATAATATAAGTATATAAGTACAAGTGTAAGTAATAGTAGTAATAGCACTATTAGTAATAATAATAGTAATAGTAGTAATAATAGTAGTAGTAGTAATAATAGTAGTAGTAGTAGTTATTGTTTAACACAAGAGCACATTTTAGTTAATAGAGCCACCTATAATAAAATAAAATAATAAATTTCATCTTGATTTCCAAATAGTTACATTATCAATTGGATAATTAGTCTTTGAAAATAATTGTAAGACTAAATGTCTTTCACAATGCGTTATCTTTTTTATTTTATTTTAAATAATTTTTTAATCAAAGGCTTTATAGGTCCCATTCTGAAGGGCTAATTAAACTTGGATAATACTGCACACTCTCCCCTTGTTAACATACGTGCTAATTGTACATATGATAATGTTGCCATAAATGTAAATGCCAGATTAACTTTTCTACCTTCCCCATATTTCTTCTAAAGCTGGGCAAAAAAAATATTCTTAGAGGATATTTTTGCAAGCCTACTATCTGATTCATAAATAAATCCCTATAAAATTTATAAATAATTATCTAGTATTTCCTTTTTGGCCTTTGAGCAAAACACAATAGGGAAAAATTATGACATTGCTTAATAAATGGTTTTACCTAGGCTCCTTGAGGGCAAAGATAATGTTATATTTATCTTTATGTTTCCCCCAGGGCCCAGCAGCAGTTTTTGCTACAGAGTAGACTCATAATGACTGTTCATTGAATTGAACTGAATAAAGTATGCATGGAAAAAACAGAGAGAATATAGTCTACAGGCATATTCATGTTTTCCAACATCATCTTTGACAAGGGTCCTCCTGTTTAGCATATGAAGTCACAGTCAATTTAACATTATATTTTCAATGCAAAGCACAACAGTTATTTTTCACAGCACAACTTGTAACTTGTCTAAGACCAGATCATTTGAGATAGATTTAAAAATAACCAGTTCAAATTAAAGATTGGACCATTTGATTTTCAATTTGGTATAGTTTCCCAAATAGAATGTTTTCAACAGTGAAGAAACTATATATCTTTAAATTTATATACACAGCATGAGAACTTTGATATGAAGAATTTCATTAATTTTCCTGAGATTATTTAAGCTAAAAGCATTTAAAGGATTTGTTCATTATCTTCTGAACATGTTCAGGTTATCAAAATTAATCAGTGTTTCTTACAGTGTAAGCAAGACACAAAGACCCAAAGAGCTTGCTTTTTCTTATTTTGTCACATGGCTAGTTTTGGTTTGGGGATTTTTTTGTTTGTTTTTGTTTTTTTTAATCAGCAATATAAAAAAGTTATCTGAGCCTTCTCCATTATGACACAATAATATCCAACATGTAAGTCTTTTCACCATATCTTAGATAAATGAATTCATCTAATATAGTAAAACATTTCCTATCTATCCTGTTTCCTATCACTACTACTCTCTTCCAAATAGGAATTATTTTCAAACATCTTCAGGCCATGGTTCCCTTATAGTCTGAGAAACTAAATGATGTATTCTTTAATTTTGAACTTTGCTTAAGGGTTTGCAGTTTGTTATTCCATGAAGTTGCTTCTTCCTGAGTTTCTTTTTTTTTTGTTTCAATGTTACTTTTAAGATGTTAAAGCATTAACTGTGTTGGTAAAATATTATTTCTGAGCCTTTAGAAAATGTCCCATTTGCACATGAAGTTGTTTTGTATGCATGCAAGTCAGTCTTGGGGGCAATGCAAAAAGTTAAAGAACTCCAGTAGGAGAAGAATTGAAGTCAGATTGTTATCTGTATCATGATTAAAATTATGCTCTGTGTTTGGGATAATCTTGATAAGTTTTATGTTCAGCTGATTCACAGTTTCTATGTTGAAGGCAGTCAGCCTACATTCTAACATATATTCAACAGTTATCAGCAAGTGGTTTAGAGAACAATTTGAAATATAAAACAGGAAAGTGTTTACTATTATTGCATATATGAATCATAATCTTGATGCAGGCAGATTTTCCCCTCTTTCTGCCTCAGTTGCCCTGTAGCATAGGCAAAAAATACCTATTCCTTATCTTATAGTTGGACCATTTATCAGAAAAAAGAAGGTACACAAATGTGTAGGAAGAGATGGAAAATGCAGTTGTCAGTACAATTATGTACATCATTGGGTCATCACACTCAGTAATGGATTTTAATGACAAATAACTCATGTTTTCTGCAAGGAAAAATTATATTCATAGCCAACTGGAACTTACATAGGTGTTTATAAATGAAATGTCAAAGCTGTGTTTTCATTCTTTTTAGAAATCTGAGTGCAACAAAGAATGAGACCATCACTAGAACTCAATAGCTGTAGCTACTGGAAGCTGAAATGTAATGGATCATGTCTAAAAGAGTTAAATGATTTTGTAGCTTTTATTTCATATTCTTTCATGATTTAGACATAAAAAAGCAGTTAGATGATTTTGATAAGAGAAAATTAAACATGAAGAATTGTTAAATCCACAAAATTCAAGCTGACATTTCTGCCTATCTCTCTCTTTCTCTCTCTCTCTATAATATATATGTATACATATATACATATACACACACACATATATATATTAAATATCCATCTGTAAAATATTTAGGAAGATGCATCATGATAACATTCACATAATAGTACATGTTTATAAAACACTTTGCCAACATCAGCTTGTTTGATCCTTACAATTACCCTGAAATCTAGGTATGATTATCACCTCAATTTTTTTAAATTTAGTATGCAATTTAATCAGTTAAGAATATTTAGTTGAGAAACTACGTCTAACAAGGAGCATGGATAATTCAAGTAGCTCCTTCCGTGTCACACTCCTGTATTTGTAAGAGTCCAGAACTGATTCTTAATTCCATGGTCAGATCTCTATTCCCTATTTAACACTGCTCTTATCTCCATTTTACAGATGAGGAGACTGATCCTCAGACAAATTACTTATCATGAGGTCATATTTAAACTCAAATCTTTTGGCTTCTTGTCCAAAGCTCTATTTACTACCCTACACTGCATCTCTAAGCCTATCTATACAGAGAACGGGAAGAGAACAATTTAATAAGCATCTACTATATGGTGTTAATATGCCAATTTTGCAGGTGTGAGAACTGAGACAAACAGAGGTTACGTGACATGCCGAGAGTCATATAGCTTTTAAGCGTCTGATGCTGGTTTGAACTGAGGTCTTTCTGACCGCAGGCACAACACTCCATCCACTGTGATGCCTAGCTTTTTCTACATAAGCTGAAAAACAGAGATGTACATAAATATTTCCTGGTTACATAAATATGACAGACACAAACACAAAAAGAAAAAGTATGAAAACTTTTATTTCCAGGCCTTCCTTTATTTGACTCATAAAAAAAGCAGGGTTCTTTTTGTATCCCATCCTATTTACAAAAGATGATTAAAGTTATACAAATAAGGAACAGCACGAGGGCTGTAAGTGTGGTATTCAGCACTATCTATTCTTCTCTAGTTAGCAATCATTACATTATCTGAAAATGACACACATACATTTCAATGGTAAAATCTTTTCTCTTCATAGTCCTTCAAACATTAAAAATGTGGTAGAATTAAATCACATTGCATCTTTTTCTGTGGCAAAATCTTATGATTATTCAATATACACTTATGGGTATAACCAGATTAAATAAATGAGTTTAAATTAATAAAAATAGATAGGAAAAGGGGGAGAGGTAACATATTCTTATCAGTTTACAAAAGAATTTCCATTACTGTGGGTGCTAATATTTGTCAGAGTCAGGACTTCATGATTCCCTGATTTAATGCTTATTGGTCATAAACTACCAGAAATGATGTTACAATTCATTATTTCATATTTTGACTTATTCACGTATGTGTTCATGTATGTGTCTGTGGTGGGGGCATGCTTTCTTTAGGTACATCTGTTATTCAAGTTACAGCAACAGATGCAGATGATGCCAACTATGGAAATAGTGCCAAAATAGTGTACAGCATACTTCAAGGACAGCCATACTTTTCAGTGGACCCAGAATCTGGTAAGAAAATAATATTTGAACATTATTGCTAATGTAATCATTTGAGAAATATATGTCAAATAAATTCTTCTTTATATCTTTCATGGTTTTGTATAATTTAAAGCATGTTAATATTTTTGAAAAATCATTGATTATATGACTTAACGTACTTCCATATCACCAATAGGGGAGTCTTCTTCTTTAAAAAAAAAAAAGTACATTACTTTTAAAACACTGTTCTACTGTGCTATAACTTCTTGTGTGTGGATTTAAACTATAAAACCAAAAGATTAATAGAGCTTCATGCAAACAATAAAAACATGGGGCAATCTAAGAAAGAGACAAACCCTGAAGCTTGTGACAATTTCTAAAATGAAACAAGGACATTTGGCTGAAAGATTTGCATTGACTAAAAAGGTAATGTTTGTTATCAAAAGGATAAGTAAGTTGATTTAGCAAAGACCATACACTGAACAATGGCAGGGCTAGAAAGCTCTGTATTCTGGCAATTACATTAAATTGGTCATGGATTGAAAAGCTTATTTCAGTATACCTAAATTTTATTAGTTTGCTGTGATTAACATCTGTCCAGTATAACTTGCATAAATCCATTAAAAAATTTTAATATTAAAATGCATGACTTCTCTCTCCTTTCCCCAAAAGGCATAATAAAAACAGCATTACCAGATATGAGCAGAGAAAACAGGGAGCAGTATCAAGTGGTTATCCAGGCCAAAGATATGGGAGGACAGATGGGTGGATTATCAGGAACAACCACAGTGAATATCACTTTAACTGATGTCAACAACAATCCTCCACGATTTCCCCAGAGTAAGGAATATTTGAAGTTTATACATTTGAATTTTCTTTAAAACCGTTTTCATGATGCGCCACTATTTTCATAAGTAGATTCACTGTTGTGTTTTTAAAGAACAATTTTTTATTTTGAATATGTAAGTGGAAAAAAAGCTCTAAGATAAACATATCTTTTCAATAGTTTGTGTGTGTATATGTACATATACTCATATAACATATATGTGTATATATGCATATTGAACATATACAGGTGTGTATTATATACATACACAAATACATACATACACTACACATATATACCCATATATACCTGCATGCATACACATATGCATATGTCTGCATATATACACATGCACTATATATATATATACACATACATGCATATATACATACATTATGTGTGTATGTGGTTTGCAAAACACTTTACAATCGTTATCTCACTTGAATCTCCCAACAGCCCTGTGAGGTAGGTGCCATTATTATTTGCTTTTTATAAATGAGGAAACTTAAGCTTAACAGATATTTAGTAATTTGCCTGGGATCACATTAGTAAGACAAGCCTAATTCTAGCCACTGTCATTAGCTGCCTCGTAACAAAAAAAAAAAAAAGACTTCAATTTTACTAGTATTGAGTTGGATAGTAGAAGGAATTAAGAGGACAAAGTATCTTATTTTGGTTAAATCTCTTATCCTTCTTTCGGGGTAGAAGGTCAGTCCACAGCTCTTTATGTTTTTTTTTTTTCTGCCATCTCAGCAACTCACCTTCTACCTTCACTAATTCTTTTTCTTTATCAATCAATACCATGCTACCAAATTCCAAACTGGTAAATGGGAAGCCTTCAGACTCAGGAGGAGTTGGAAGGAACCATAAAATATACCTAAATATAGGCAAGATTAATGAGACAAATCATTCCAGTCCCTCCCTGGCACCACCCCAATCTTTGAGTTCAGCTCTTCAAATATAATAGACTATTTATACTAGTTGTTTTACCTGTGTCTGTCTGAATTATGACAGAATTATTAATAGGTCCACTAATTCGAGTCAGTTTAATCAACACATTCATTCATGCCAAAGTCTAACCATTAATACCAGGACTACAAACTCATCTCATTTCATTATGACAACAACAACAATGACAACTGGATGTTAATGAATGCTGTGCCACTTAAGTATACAGAGAACAATAGGTGCCTTAAAGATTTCATTGTGTAAATGAATGAATGAACAAACAAACAAATGATTTCACTATGCAGCATCAATTCAGATCTGTTCAGGGATTTATGATGACCAAAAGTAGTTTCCACTGTCTAATATATATTAACTGAAATAGGACAGTGTGATCTTCATTCTTTTATATTCTTGGGGCACTAACATGTTAAGTGACTTTCTCATGGTAATGTCATAGAATTTGTCAAAAGTAGGACTTCAACCCAAGATCTTCAGGCCAATCTTTAATCAATTAAAACTTGTATTTATATTAAAATTCTGTTGTGGAAGCATTGCTGTATAAATTCAAAATTGCCGAGTGCATTTTATGATCTGAATTATTTAGAATTCCTGTCAGCATTAGGAAACTATATCAGAGAATCACTCCTATAAGCCTCTTATTTTGTCTTTGTCAAGTGGATATAAATTATCTAATGCCTCATAAACTGAAGTGTTTGAAAACAGCACATAGAAAATTAGCTTTCTTCAATAACACAAAAGATACATCAACATGGTTACTGCTTCCATTGCCTCAGATTGAAACATCTCTTTTCCACAGCTTGATTGGCATTTTTCTGAGAACAAAACTATAATAATATAAAATAAATAATAACAAAATAAAATATATCCCCCAAGTGTATCTAGATGTACAAACTTCTGATAATGTATCTCAAAGTTAACTGGGTAGGATCTTTAATAACAAACATACAGTTTACCACTGGGACAAATTTTGAAAACTTTATAGCTTAGAAGGATCTATCAGGAATTTGAATCTTCTAATTTAGCCTTAAAAACACACAATTATCTTTAATTGTTGAAAGAGAAAATCAACAAAAATCTTGTGGTGATTTATATAGATGCATATATAATATTATTATATTGCACTTACAGCTTTTATGCAGTCTAAATCTTCACTTGATTTATAGTCTTTCCTGCCCTAATACACAAATATTTTCCCATTATCTTTCATCACCTTTCCAATATGTTGAAACTAAAATCATAGAGTAGCTTAAAATGACATTTGGATATATGTTTATATCATGTAATCATTTTTACAATTCTCAAATGCTAAGAAAAAGCTTTCATTTAAGTAAAGATGGTATTGGCCATAGTTAAGTGCATACCAAAGGATATGATGCTCAAAAAATAAATGATGATGATAATGATGATGATGATAGTGATGAGTGTTTGAGGGAGAAAATTCTGAGACTCAGAGTTGCCTAGCTTGGTAAATTACAAGTACCATGTGAACATGAAAGTCCCTTAAAATTTATTCCTTACACTAGCTAATTGAGACAGATTCTCGGTATTTCACCTAGTCATTCACAGACATAGCCTAAACTTGGGACAATATTGTTAGAAGATTACATATTTTAGGCATGAAATTACCCTGGGGGAAAAATTGAATTTAAAAAAGAAAATCTTGTTTTTTAGTTCCTGTATAGCCACTGAAATGTGTGACTATAGAAAAGTAAAACTGTTCTAATTATCAACTTTCTCATCTATAAAATGGGAAATATTCTGCTTATACAATATATCTCAAAGAGCTTTTATGGATGAAATCAAAGAACATAAATTAAGAGGTTTGAAAGCTTTCTTAAAAGTAGAGTCTACTATGATACTTTGAAGTTGTCCTGTTAAGAATGTATGTGATATATCAATTCCATGGTGGGACATTCTTCTCCTAACCTTTCTCTTCTATTGTGCTTTCTTTGTACCCCTCATTGTCTAGGTGTAGAAAGTGAGAAAAAATGAATTTGGAATCAAACAACCCTATGTTGAGTAATAGTTTTGCCATTTATGATTTAACCTTGGGAAAGGCATTTCCTCTTTCTGAGTCAGTTTCTACTTCTATAATACAGGGCTAGTAAAATTTGAATTACCTACCTCAAAGATCAATTGTGGGGAGGGAAAAAAGAGATTGTGTATTTAATATGTTTTATAAGTAATACAGTATTGTATAAAGGTTGGATTCTAGTTGAAATACAGTTTAATATCGGTGACCAGTAGGGAAAATCAACTTAAAACAAGATCGTTACCAGATGTTTGAATTTATCTTGATATCAGAACATTTCGATGTGATACCAAAACCACTGCTTGAAAATGAAATGCTCACTGGGAAGTGGAGCCAAGATGGCAGAGTAAAGGCAGGGACTCTCCTGAGCTCTCCCCCAAAACCCCTCAAAATACTTTTAAAATGACTCTAAATAAATTCTGGAGCAACAGAACCCACAAAAAGATGAAATGAAACAATTCCCAGCCCAAGACAACTTGAAAGACCAGCAGGAAAGATCTGTTGTACCAAAATGAGAGAGGAGTTCACTGCAGAAAAGGCAGTGCCAGCACAGACAGGACCCCCACAAACCCAGAGTAGGCCTCAGGGTGACTGAATCACTGGTAACAGTAGCAGTTTCCAAACCTCTCAGCTCACAGACACCAAAGAGAAGTTAGTAGGTCCGCAGGAAAAGTCTATGACACCTGAATGAGAGTAGAGCTCAATTCAGTGCAGGCCTTGCTAGCACAGCCCTGGCCCCAGTAAACTGAGAGCAGACCTTAGGAGCCACTGAATCAGCAGCACTGCGGCTGCTTCCAGAGCTCTCAACTCACAAATGGTAAGGGGATCGAACAGCTGGTCAGAAGAAAATTACAGTGATCTTTTTGTTAGCACTGAAGGAGGATTCTGTTACTTTCCCCATACATGGATCCTGGTCGCAATGCTGGGTGGCAGTCCCAGGGCTAGGAGGAACACTAGCACATCAGAGCTTGTGGCAACAGTGGAGGGGGGACTCTCCTCACAGTTTCAGGTCAGAAAACAGTGCTTGTGGTCACTCACAGACCAGAGCACAGGCCAGGACAGTAGTAAACACCTCTCCTTTGATCATACCACTTTGAAAGAACTGAAAACTTAGAGATCTCTAGAAGTATCTCTGAAAACAGCTGCACACAACCTCTGAAGCATGGGACAATACACCCTCCACCCTGGAAGCAGAGCCCTACTTTAACAAACAGTTAAAAGTCAACTAATAGGCTGGGGGAAATAAGCAAACAATTAAAAAAAACAGCTCTGACTATTCAAAGTTACTAAGGTAATAAGGAAGATCAAAACACACACTCAGAAGACAGCAAAGTCAAAGCTCCTACACCCAAAGCTTCCAAGAAAAATATGAATGGTATAAGGCCATGGAAGAGCTCAAAAATGACTTTGAAAATCAAGTGAGAGAGGTAGATGAAAAATTGAGAAGAGAAATAAGAGTGGTGCAAAACAATCATGAAAAAAGAGTCGACATCTTGGTAAAGGAGACACAAAAAATAGTGAAGAAAATAATACCTTAAAAAAGAGACTAGGGCGCAATGGATAGAACACTGGCCCTGAAGTCAGGAGGACCTGAGTTCAAATCTGGTCTCACACACTTGACACTTACTAGCTGTGTGACCCTGGGTAAGTCATTTAACCCCATTTCCTAGCCAAAAAAAAGAAAAACCCACACAGACTAGGCCAAATAGTAAAAAGGGTCCAAAAAGTCGATGAGGAGAAAAATGCCTTAAATGGCAGAATTGGCCAAATGGAAAAGTAGGTCCAAAAGCTCACTGAAGAAAATAATGTCTTAAAAATTCAACTGGAACAAATAGAAGCTAATGACTTTATGAGAAATCAAGAAAAAATAAAACAAAATGAAAATGATGAAAAAATAGATGACAATGTAAATCTCATTGGTAAAACAACTGATTTGGAAAATAGATTCAGGAGACATAATTTGAAAATTATTAGACTACTTGAAAGCCATGATCAAAAAAAGAGCCTAGACAT